TGACAGCAGCTGTGCCGGCTGGGATTGTCACTAACTGGGATCCCTGCTCACTGGGATTGTCACTAACTGGGATATTCCCTGACTGGGATCCCTGCTCACTGGGGTCCCTGGATCCCTGTGGCTCAGAGATGCTCAGCACTTCAGGAGCCCTTGGGAATCAGACCCAGGTGCCCCAAAAAGAGTTTTGGTTTTTATTTTTTGTTTCTGGAAGTGGCTCCTATGGCACCACCAGCATCCAAAGGAGTTTGGGTAGGGAGCAGGACCAAAGCACAGTGGGAAGGGCAGGGCAGGAACCCCAGGAACCCCCACAGTTCCAAAAGCCCCAGAACAGAAATGAGGAAGACTGTGGAGAAAAAATCAAACTCATTTTCCTTCAGGTGCAGGGAAAAAGCTTTGAATATCACATACCCTGTTCTGCTGCCTCAGTTCCTGAAGGATCCATCCCATTCCTGGGGTGATCAAACCCAGCCTGGGGGGACCTGTCCCAGTCCCCAGGGTCCCCTCCCAGCACCCAGCACCCAGCTCTGCTGCAGGACCCCCAGTCTGGGATTTGGGGCACATTCAATCCCATATCATTCAGCTATGGATGCCATTATTTGCAGAAATTCTTCTGTTGGAGCTCCCAGCTTCCTAAATCTCCTGTGCAAAGAGTTTCTCAGGTCAGGCAAATCTACCAGGGTTTAAAAATATTTTTTTTCCTTTATTTTTCCTGCATTTCTACCCTCAAACAGCCAGGGTGACCTGTGCACATCCAAGTCCTGCTTGGGAAAACCTCTCTGGAGCTGGGTCAGGTCTTTGGAGAGAAGAAGTGGAGCTGCATATCTTAGGATGCTTAAGGAGGGCTTTGCTCTGCATCCCAAATGCAGGTGGGAGACCCTTAATAACTGGAAAAAGAGAGGATTTTCTTGGGGCCAGATGTGGAACTCTGATAAAATGATCCCACAAAGGGCTGGGGTCAGGTCTGGACCCTGCTCAGCCACTTGATGGCAGTGGGTATCCAAACACTTCCCTTTTTTCCAGTAATTTCGGCTGAATTGGTTCAAAATGTCCCTTTTCCCCCAGTCTGGGGGTGTCCCTGGCCCCACAGTGCAGGGCTGGCACTGGGACCAAAGGGGTTTTGTGGGGGAAAGGCTCCAAGAGCTGGGATGGACACATGGACAGACGGACAATGGACAGAGGGACGCGGCAGGACAGGGCATGGACACAGAGCCCGGGCCGGTCCTGGGGCTCTGGGATCACCCTGAGCCTGCCCAGGGACCCCGGAGCTCCGTCCCTCTGCAGTGCACACCCACCCAGGGCTAATGAGCACCTTTGTCACCAATTAGCTCAGGAAACTTCAGCAATTAATTCAGCAATTAATCCTCCAAATCAGGCAGGAGCCGCCCCTGGGTTCACATCCCACTCCTGGATCCTGAGGACACCCTGGCTTTGTGGGCAGTGACCCCGGTTCCAGCTCTCCCTGCTCCTTGTCCGCACAGCAGCACCCCCAGATTTCTGACACCTCCCTTCCCTCTCTCCAGGACAGGATTCTCCTACCTGGGAAAGAACTGAACCAAAAACTGCTGGGTACCCCTGTCTCCATTTCAGTGGGATCCCAAACATCACTGGGATCCCATTCCCATGGACCCCAAACACCAGTTCGGGACACCAGTGCCCCCATTCAGCCCCAGAGCACGGGGACCCCAAACCCCACTGGGTCCCAGGATCCCCATTTTGTCCCCACATCACCTGGATCCCAATCCCACAGGTGCCACCAGTGCCCCACCAAGCCCAGGGACCCCGAGCACCCCCATCCCAGGACCACCCAGCCCTGTGGGGGCTCCAGGGCTGTTTGCTGAGCTCCATCAAACAGGGCAGAGGAAAAAGGGAATAAAAAAGGGAAAGCACCTCCTCTCCAAACACAGCCGGGCCCACAAGGGCCTCCTGCCTTTTTATCTTCCCAAGGCTCTCATTAAGGCTCAGGAACCCCAAACCTGCCCCCCCTTTCATCTGTGCCCCCTCCCCAGGGCCTTTATGTGCCCCAGGGCAGTGGCAGGGCCGGTGGGAGGGGTCCCTGTGCTGCTCCAGGGAATGAATGCGGTGCCATCCGCGGGATTTTGGGGATAATTTGGATTTTTTGGGGTACAGACCCTCCTGGGGAGGTTCCCCCTGCAGTCCCCAGGCGGGGGTGCCCCAGCACTGCAGCTCTGGGGATCCCAGAGCAGAGCAGAGGCTGCCCTGGCCAGGGCACAGCCCCTGATGACTTTTCCAGCGATGCCTGGGGCTGTTCCCAGCCCCGAGCAGTTCAGGGTTTGTTCTCAGACTGGAGCAGTTGGGGTTTGTTCCCAGTTTGGGGTTTGTTCCCAGTTTGGGGTTTGTTCCCAGCCCAGAGCAGTTTGGGGTTCATTCTCAGTTTGGGGTTTGTTCCCAATTCGGGGTTTAGTTCCCAGTTCGGGGTTTGTTCCCAGCCCGGAGCAGTTGGGGTTTGTTCCCAGTTCAGGGTTTGTTCCCAGTTCAGGTTTGTTCCCAATTCGGGGTTTAGTTCCCAGTTCGGGGTTTGTTCCCAGCCCGGAGCAGTTCAGGGTTTGTTCCCAGTTCGGGGTTTGTTCCCAGTTCAGGGTTTGTTCCCAGTTTGGGGTTTGTTCCCAGCCTGGAGCAGTTCAGGGTTTGTTCCCAGTTCAGGGTTTGTTCCCAGTTTGGGGTTTGTTCCCAGCCTGGAGCAGTTCAGGGTTTGTTCCCAGTTCAGGGCTGTTCCCAGTTCAGGGCTGTTCCCAGTTCAGGTTTGTTCCCAGTTCAGGGTTTGTTCCCAGTTCAGGGCTGTTCCCAGTTCAGGTTTGTTCCCAGTTCGGGGTTTGTTCCCAGTTCAGGTTTGTTCCCAGTTCAGGGTTTGTTCCCAGTTCAGGGTTTGTTCCCAGTTCAGGGCTGTTCCCAGTTCAGGTTTGTTCCCAGTTCAGGGTTTGTTCCCAGTTCAGGGCTGTTCCCAGTTCAGGGTTTGTTCCCAGTTTAGGGTTTGTTCCCAGTTCAGGTTTGTTCCCAGTTCAGGGTTTGTTCCCAGTTCAGGGTTTGTTCCCAGCCCGGAGCAGTTGGGGTTTGTCCCTCGGGAAGGCCGGACAAGGGGCTGCTGTGGCTGCTGTGGCTGCTGTGGCTGCTGTGGTGCAGATGTGGCCCCGGGCCGGCTCCCCCTGCCCCATTTCCTCCCCAATAAAGCCCCGAGCCCCGGGAGGCTGTGACGGCCGAGGTGTGACTTTTCCCAGCTCATTAGGACAAGCTGCGGGGTTTTTAGGAATCTCAGCCCCTAATGACCATCTGAATCCCATCAGCCGAGCCGGGGGTGCAGGGAGAGCCCCGGCACATCCCCTCGCTGGCCCGGGCTGTGCTGACTCCCCAAAAATCAGCTGGGGGGGGGGGGTGTGCAGAGCTCAGGGGGTCAAGGGGGACCCCAAGTCCCTGCCCCAGGAATTTGGTGGCCTTGGGGTGACCCTGGGTTCCTGTGTGGTCCCACTGAGTAATTCAGGGCCAGTGTCACCCTGTGGGAGGACACGGGGGGGTCGGGACATGGGGGGACATCGCAATGGGGGGCAGGGGAACACGGGGGGGCACCCAGCCGAGGGCAGGGGGACATGGGACAGCATCTCAAATGGGGACAGGGGACACGGGGGGGCAAATTCCCATCAGGGTAAGGTGACACGGGGAGACACCCAGTCAAGGGCAGGGGGACGTGGGGTGACATTGCCGTGGAGATCCGGGGACACCGCGGTGGGACCTCCCCGCTGAGGCTCGGGGGCTGGAGGGGACACGCTGTGGGAGCCGCGGGCAGGGCGCGGGGACATCCCGGGCGGGCAGGGGGCCGAGGAGCGGGCCCGGAGCGGGGCGGGCGGGGCACGGGCGCTGCCGCGGTCCCTCCCGGTGCCCCGGGCGCTGTGAAGGGGCCCCGGCGCTGCCCCCGGCCCGGCCGTGCCGCCCCCCGGCCGCTCCTTCACCATCGCGGCGCTGCTCGGGCCCCCCGAGCCCCCGGCACCGCTCCGAGCCCCCGCCTGCGGGGAGCCCCCGGCCTGGGCTGCTACAGGAACCGAACCCCCCGAGAAGCGCCCCGGGAGCGCCGCTGGTCCCGGACACCCCCAAACGGGGACCCCGGCCCGCCCCGAGCATGCGCGTCCTTCTCCCTCGGGGACACCCCGCAATGAGGAGCCAGCCCTGCTCCCAAGGGGACACCCCCAAACGGGGACCCGCATCCTCCTCTGCCGGGGGACACCCCCAAACGGGGACCTTCCTCCCCAGGGACACCCCCAAACGGGGACCTTCCTCCCCAGGGACACCCCCAAACGGGGACCCCCTCCCCAGGGGACACCCCCAAACAGGGACCTTCCTCCCCAGGGACACCCCCAAACGGGGACCCCCTCCCAGCACTCCAAGGGGGACCTTGGGCCCCCTCTCCAAACAGGGGATCCCATCATTCACGGGGATCTCTTCCAAAGGATCCCCAGCCCTCTCCAGTGGGAATACCCCCAAATGGGGACCCCCTTCCATCCCCACAGGGGGACCCTTGCCTGCCCCTCAGGGACCCCTCTCAAGGGGAGTTCTTCCAGGGAGGGTCCTGCCCACCTCTCCCACGGGAATGGCTCCAAAGGGGCCTGGATCCACCTCTCCTGTGGGGCCATCTGCAATGGGGATCCGCTTTCACCTCTCCAAGGAGAGGGATCTCTTCCAGGAGGATCCATGCCCATCTCTCTTGGAACACCCCCAAAAGGGACATCTCCAAGTGTGGGGGAGCTCCTTCCACCTCTGCATGGGAAATTCCCTCAAAGGGATGTTTTCCATGAGGGACCTGTGTCCACCTCTCCCAGGAGATCCTCAGGAAATGCGGGGCCCTCTGGAAAACAACCTCTTCAAAGGGGACACCTCCACTGGGAAGATTCCTTCTGCCTGTCCAGGAAAGAAGGGCCCAGGACACTCCAGAGGGGACCCCTCCAAGGGCTCCTCTCCACCCTGCCCTCTCTCCATATCACTCCAGGCTCCTGATCTCCGAGTGCTGCTTCCCCCAGCTCAAAGCCAAGCCTGGCAAAGCCAAGCGAGCCCGGACCCTCTTGAGCAGCCAGCAGCTGGCAGGGCTGGAGCAGCAGTGAGGCTGGAGCACCTGGTGGGGCAGGAGCGCTGCCTGCTGGCCCCAAACCTGCAGCTCAGCCCAGAGCAGGCAAGCCCTGCCTCGATGCCTCCATCCACCTCCTGTGCCACTGGCAGCTCCAGGGGAGCTGGGATGTGTCCCTCAGGGAGCTGGGACACTGGGATGTGACCCTAAAGGAGCTGGGATGTGTCCCTCAGGGAGCTGGGACACTGGGATGTGTCCCTAAAGGAGCTGGGATGTGTCCCTCAGGGAGCTGGGACACTGGGATGTGTCCCTAAAGGAGCTGGGACACTGGAATGTGTCCCTAAAGGAGCTGGGATGTGTCCCCAGGGTGCTGGGATGTGTCCCCAGGGTGCTGGGATGTGTCCCTCAGCCTGGCACAGAGCCCCGTGGTGCTGATTGCACAGAGTTTCAGTCAAAAGGGTGGTGGGTCACAGGTGGGGAAACTGAGGCACGACGTGGCTGTCCCAGAGCCAGGAACTTGTGTCCCTCTTCAGGCTGGGCTCCTCCTGCAGGGGCAGGTGCAGGTCCTGGCATGCAGGGAGCAGTTTCCCATCTTGGCAGGGACAGACTGGACACTGCCTGAGCCCAGGGGCCCAAGGAGCAGCCAGGCTGGGGAGCCAAGCTTGGCCCTTTCCCAAGGGGGAATTGGTGCAATCTCTGTCCCTGGAGGTGCTCAAACACACGGGGGTGGCACCTGGGGACACGGGTGGGGCTGGGTTCATGGCTGGACTCAGTGACCTTTCCACACTCAACAATTCCATGATTCTGTGATCCCAGGTGAAAGTCTGGCTCCAAAACTGCAGGATCAATGGAGGGAACAGAGCCTGGAAGAGCAGCAAGAAGCCAAACTGGCCAGAACAGGTTGGGGCACCCCAGAGTCACAGACTCACAGAGCACCAGGAGGAGAACAAGGACAGCCCGGCAGAGTCAGAGGACAGCCAGGAGGACACGTCCTTGTCCCCTGCACAGACTGTGACAGAGCTGCTGAGCCACCCCGGGCCCTTTGTGTGTGTTATGGGTGTATCACAGCTGGCAATATCCAATATATACAGGATATACGGGGCACCCCTGGGGCTTGGGGGTGAAATAAATTATTTATGCAACTCTTGGGCTCATCTTTGCAGGAATAGCCCCCATCCTGCAGGGCTTCTTCCTGGGGGAGTGGGAGCCACTGCAGCCTCAGCTCATCCCAGAGGTGTTGGGAGCCTGGAAATCTCCCAGCTCGGGAGCTTCACAGAGCCCCTGAATCCTGGAGAGGATCTGTTCACCACAACACCCTGCTCTGCCCACAGCTCATAAATGCCAGTGCTGCCTTCCTCTCCAGGATGTAGAGCCAGGACAGCAGGGAAATGCACCTGGAGACAGAGCTGGAGGGAGCTCTGTGACCTGGGCTCCTGGGGTGACAAATCAGCTGGGCAAGGATTAGCCAGGCTTTGATTTTCATTGCGTGGCTCTGCTTAGGCAGAGGGGGAGCTTTCAAATCCAGCAGTTTTGGGGTGCACACTGAGCAGGGGATGATCCAAAGGTGGGACCCATGGGAGGCTGGGCAGCTCCTTGAAGGGTGCAAAGCAGGGGAGAGCCTGGGGTGTGCCAGAGGGGACACGGGGTGCTGAGCTGGGCAGTGCCAGCTCCTGCAGCTGAGCTTTGTCCCTGTCTGGCTCTGGAGCTGGGGGAGGAGGAGCCTCAGGTGCAGGATTTATTTGGGCAGGTGTGAAAGGTGGGGCAAGGACAGGGGGGCAGTCCAGGAGATGGTGCAGAGAGAAGGGAGCAGGGCAAGGAGAAGGGGATGATGTGGGGAGAGGGGAGGATGTGGGGGAGTCTGGGGAGGCTGCAGTTTATGGCAGCCCCCAGATACAATGTACAGGCTCTGTTTGAGCTGCACGTTTGAAGAATGAGTCAGGGCTCTCCATTTCTCACTCTCAGAGTTGTTTATTGTATCTTACCTATAACAATTTTTGTCCTGCCCTGCCGAGGTCCATCCAGCAGGACAGTTCAAGGCACACTGCCTGCCCCTGGGGTGGTGTTATCTTTTTATGCTACAAACTACCTATAACATGTTTGCAATTACTTTCCAATACCCATCACCTGTGTTAGACAGTGAGCTTCTACTCTAGAGCAATCCCAAAGTGCCACCATCACAGCAGAAGATGGAGGTAGAGAAGAAAAAAGGCTGGACATGCCCAAGTCCCTCCATCTTGTCCCCAAAACCCCTATTCTAAAAACCCCAAAATCTACTTTTTCACCCTGTGATCATTTTATTATTACACTACCTAAACTTCTGTGGCTTTCATGTCCTCATACAAAGCTGGCAACTTGCTCCAGGGGTCACAATCAAACCCCCAGGTGCTCTGGGCTGTGTGCCAGGGTCTCTGAGCCCCCTGGCAGGGGTCCCAGCAGCTCTGGACACCGGGAGGGATGCACTGAGCTCCAACGGGGGAGAAAAGGGGATGGTGCAGGGAGAAAGGACAATATCAGGACAAGGGGATGGTGCACAGGGAAGGGGAATGACGCCTGGAAACGGGGATGCTGCAGGAGAAGAGGACAACATAGGAAGGGGCAGTGCAAGGAGAGGGGGAGTGTGCAAGGGGGGGTGATACAGGGAGAGAGGGACAGTGCCAGGACACAGGGACAGTGCAAGAAAGGGACAGTGCAAGGAGAGGGGGACAGTGCAAGGACAGAGGGACAATGCCAGGACAGAGGGATAGCGCAAGGACAGAGGGACAGCACAAGGACAGAGGGACAGCGCAAGGACAGAGGGACAGCGCAAGGAGAGGGGGACAGTGCCAGGACAGAGGGACAGCGCAAGGACAGAGGGACAGCACAGGGAGAGGGGACCTGTGACGGCAGCTGCCCTTTGTCCGGCCCTTGCAGGGATTAGCCGGCACATCTCAAAGAGCCCAAACTGCGCTCATGTCCTCACGTGTCTGCCGGGAGCGCGGGCTGGGCGCGGGTTTAAGGCGCTAATCTCGCACGCCCTGGCTCATTACAATCGGCCCCGAGACAAGAGCGCTCTCGGGGCTGTTTCAATCCCGCCCGGCCGGGGGCTGAGCCGATTGCGGCGCTCTCGTTGTTCTCGGGACCCCGTTAATCCCCGGGAGCTGGCGGGGCTCGGGACCCGGCTCCTCCGGGAGCAGCGGGGGAGCCGCCCCCGCTCCGGGGATGCTCCCGCAGGGTCTGCCCGGCTCGGCCCCCGCTGCGGGGAATGGCCGAGCCGGGAATGATTTAATTAAAACCGCTGGGCTTGGTCGGGTTTTTAAAATGTGCTTGGGTATGAGACGGATTAAATCACATTCCTCTGGCACCTCGGGATTTGAGCGGGAGGGTTTTTGTCGTGGGGGGTGATAACCCCTGAGGGCTCAGGAGGGCTCTGTCCCCTCGGGACAGCTGAGTCACGGGGAATGCCGTCCCTTGTCTGCCTCTGGCCAGCGACTGACGCCTTTGCAGGCTCCTAGGGGTGGGGAAGGGACTGCGCTGGACAAAGCAGGGGACGAGGAGAGCCAAGCCCCAGGTCTGCCCCCGCTATGGGATGGATTTGATGGCCTGCAGAAAAGCTGGATTCACCATTTTCTGTCCTGCTGAGCCCTGCCAGGCTGGGCAGGGGTTGGAATGCAGTTTCCTTCCTCTCCAACCCTGCTGTCGGCAGCTCAGCCCAGCTCCTGGCAGCTCCACTGGAGCACGAGGGTTGGGATCAAGTCCGGGCACTGATTTGGGACGGTGGAAAATAAGGAGAGAGATGCTTGGGAAGGTCTGGGGCTGCATCGATCCTCTTGGGGCACAGCCTTGGTCCTCTCATCCCCCAGAAATCTGTGTATAAAGAGGAAGAATGAAGAAAGAATAAGAGCTGTGTGTCCTTACCCAAATCCCCCCACATCCCAAAGACCCTGCCAGTCCCTTCCCCGTCCATGGCTCTCAGAAAGACGCTGGTTTTTCACCTGTCTGCAAAACCCGAGGTGGCTTTCAGCGACAGATAATTAAAAGGAAGTGAGAATTAAGCAGCTTTATTAAGGGGATAAAGGCTATCTGCCAAAGATGCAGCGCTGAGCCCTTCCCAGCAAATCTCCTCTGGGCAGTGGGGCCAGCAGGGGAGGGTGATGGAGCAGGGAGAGGCGTTTCCCGAGGGATTGCAGCGGGACAGGCAGGGCTGTGTCACAGACATCTTCTATGGAAAATCCTTTCCTTGGGATTCTTCCTCCTGAGAGGCCTCAGGAACAAAATGTAACCAATGGTTATCTGCTGCTGTGGAATGCAACAGGTGCATCTGGGATTGGCCCATGTTGGATGTTTCTAATTAATGGCCAATCACAGCCCAGCTGGCTCAGACTCTCTGTCTCAGACACAAGCCTTTGTTATCATTCTTTCTGATTCTATTCTTAGCCAGCCTTCTGATGAAACCTTTTCTCCTATTCTTTTAGTACAGTTTTAATGTAATATATATCATAAAATAATAAATCAGCCTTGTGAAACACGGAGTCAGATCCTCGTCTCTTCCCCCATCCTGGGGCCCTGTGAGCACGGTCACAGGGGTGAGTGAGGCTGAGCAGGGAGAGGCGTTTTCCCGAGCTTTTCCCGAGGGATTGCAGTGGGACAGGTGGACGGGGATGATTGGGATGAATGCAGGGCGCTGCTGAAGAGGTGCAAACGGCCTGGCTAACTGGGATGGGACTGGGCTGGGAGATTGCAGAGAGGATAACCAGGAGGAGCCGAGCCTCGGGCTCTCGGGGTGCCCCCGTTCCTGCCGGGACGGTCCCGCTGTGCACATGGAGCGGTCATGGAGCACCCCCGTGCTGTGCCCGGGCTGCTCTGCCGGCTCCTGGCGCGTCCCTTGCCGGGCTGGCAGCGCCGTTCCCCCTTCGGAGGGGTCCCTCGGTGGGATTAGCGCGTCCCTTGCCGGGCTGGCAGCGCCGTTCCCCCTTTGGAGGGGTCCCTCGGTGGGATTAG